GGAGGATCCGGGAGGTCCTCAGGAACTCGCATAGACACACACAGTCTGCTGAGCCATAGGTCCTGTTCCCAGCAGGCCCTTTGTGTGCACTGTGTGTCCTCCTTGGGCCTCACAGAGGGAGGTCGGAGCCCAGGGCGGGGCAAGGGCCAGGCTTGGTGCTCCCGCTGTGTCCTCACTTGTTCCTAAGCACCAGACTTTTGGGGTCCTCAGTCCTGGGGCCTGAGAGCAACTTACAAGCCCGATAGTCACCCAGTCCCGCCACCGCAGCTGGCCAGGGCCACTGTCCCTGTTACAAGCTCCATCATCATTGCTGGTGGATCCCGGCTTTGTGAATTCACCCACCTGCAAAAGTTTGTGTCACCCTAAAGCAGCACGCAGTGCTTTCATGGGCTAACTGTAGTCTTTCACAGAAGGGTGAAAGATGTGTCCTCTGACCTCCGGCTGAGAATGAGCAGGGCCACACTGTCCTCTCTGCAGTCCGAGGAATGCTTGTGGTCTACGCTTTTGTGATTTTGTGGGAAGTTAGTGGTGTTGGCGAGCATAGTGCCAAGGTGGAAGGTGGTGATGTGCTTCGCGAGCCCCGCGCAGGCCCAACTCCCAGGATCTGCTCTGGCTGCGGAGCAACAGCCTCTTATGTCTGGTGCCTTTCATCAGAAATCTGTGTAAAGCAAGGGTACAAAACTGGAGTGGCTGAGGCCCTCAGGAGCCAGCCCTCAGGAGTGCTTCCCCCAGGAGCAGTGGGGCACACACACTAATTCGGTGCTCCTGGATTCCTTACAGAACTTGGTACCAAGGGCTGGGGAGATGGCTCAGTAGAACAAACATTTCCCTGGCAAGTACAAGGGTCTGAGTTCAATCCCCAGCTCTGCCAAAAAAAAAAAGAAAAAAGAACTTGGTACCAGGGAAGGAGGCGGGAGACCCCTGCCCTGGAGGACCCCAACTAGATTGAAGACCTGGGCTGTGAAGAGCTCCTCTGCCCTGCCTAGGATGTCCCCTGCTCCAGAGCTGTCGCTTGCCACTCCCCACCCCAGCAGGGACATGCAGCTCAGACCAGCCTAGCAGCAGCAAGGCAGGGGCAGGGCACCCTGCCGAAGTGGCCTCTTCTTGCTGGCAGGCCTGGGAGAGGACAAGGGGTCACCTACAGGAGGAGGAGCAGGGATCCCAGGCCACCCCATGGGCCCTGTGTGCATTCACAATGGCCCTGCCTCAGTGGGCCAAGGACACTGTAAGGGAGGACCCTGTGGCTGCATCTGAGCTGGCCATGGTGACTCGGAGGCAGCAGAGCCCAGGTGATGGCGCTCACAGCTTACTGAGGGCCTTGGTCCTCCGCACACCCCTCCACTGGCCCTAGGTGGGTGGAATGAGACCCCAACATCAGAGCCATTAGCTTGGGAGAGTTCCACACCTCGGCCACCTGGGTAGGGAGCAGCAGGGCCGGGTTCCCCATGGTCTAGTCTCAGAGCCTCAGGCTCCCTGTGCCTGCTTGCCTCAGAAGTCCAACTCTGGGGCTGGTGAGATGGCTCAGTGGTCTAAAGCACCTACTTGGAACAAGCTTAGCAAAGCACAGGGACCGCGGTTCAATCCCCCAGCACCACATGCCAGCCAGCCCCGCCCCCTGGTGGGCTGAACTGCCCCCCCCACAAATAAATAAAATTAAAAAAAAAAAAAGTCCAACTCAGATCCACCCAACAACTGGACGGGGTGCAGGTCTCCTTCCTTTCACCTCTGTCTCTCTGTCTCTGTCTGTCTGTCTCCCCTCCCCTCTGACTCCCTCTTGCATTGGTCTATGAGATGATACCATGCAATGATGGGCAGAGCTGGTGTGGTCTTACTGAAAATCTGCAGAGAAGCAAAAGCCCCGTGGTGTGCAGGCCTTCTACACCATGGGGTTTGCTCCTGGGGCCTCTGCGAGACCTGTGCGGCAGTCCTCAGTGTCTGCACTGGGTTCTGCATCTCACCAGCACTGCGTGTCTGTGTCTTCACAGCCGTCCTTCAGCAGGCTGGGAGAGGTGGTTAAGCGTCAGGCCAGGACATCGCGGTATCTGTCCTCTAGAATGTCCGGGGGGTCGGCTCAGTACACCTGTGCTGGCATGAACCAGAACTTTTTATCAGGGGCCAGGGAGATAGCTCAGTAGAGTAAGCACTTGCCTGGCAAGCTCTAAGGGCTTGAGTTCAATCCCCAGTTCCGGAAAAAAACCAACAGCAAAACACCTTTTTATCGCCCCTGTTGGCAGAAGGCGTGTGTGAAGCAAGCTGCCTGTGCTCGGAGGTGCAGCTTGGGGAGCTCTGTGGACTGTGCGCCCATCCGCCTCCTCCGTCCAGACCCGGCTGGCCGCAGACAGCCAGCGTCAGGCCAGGGGTGCTGTGCTCCACCTTTCTGAGACATCACGGGAATGTGGCCGCACAGGGTGTGGTGCTGTAGTGTGACCCCTCCTCCTGCTGGCGCTGAGAGTCACCTGTGGCACTGTGGGAGCGGGCAGTTTTTATGGCCGAGGGATAGTCCCTGGAAGGCTCTGCTGCCTTCCGCGCCTCTGTCCTCGCTCCCCTTTGGACTCTTGGGAATGAGCCCTCCACGTGTAGACACCTACCGCCCTCCCCTTGAGGGAGTCCCTCGGAGTGGCAGGATTGTTTAGAAGTCATGTTTACCTTAATAAGGATCTGGCAGTTTTCCTAAATGATAGTGTTTTAAAGAACAAAGCTGCCCCTTGAGAGGGAGAGCGCGGTGTTGTGATCTGCCTCCACGGCTTCCGGGGAGCGCACCGTCTCCTCACATTCCTGTGCCTCCTGCCATGTCACCTGCCACATCGTGCCCATTTCCGTGTGGGGGCCACGCACATCTGTCTCCTGACTTGCTGTGACACGTGACCTCGCTGCTCTAGGGGCTGGGTTGTGTGTGGCCTCTTGTTCTTCTCTGTTTCTTTTGACTTTGGTTTTGCTTTTCTTGGCTTTGAGGGGAGTTCAAACTTTCTTTGGAGGCAGCTCTCTGCCTTTTTCTGTGCTACAGTTTTGGGGTGCTGGGAAAGCACTGGGCCACTGCTGCACCCCCAACCAATCATGTCCTAGTGATTCTTCTTGCTCTCAGGCGTCGCGTGTCCTGAGAGTGTCACTCAGATAATGCTGGGCAGTTCTTCCTGCCCAGTATCTGTCTCCTTCCTTGTGGAGAGTTCCCCGTATTAGAGTGAAGGGTGTGTGCATGTGTGTGTGTGTCTCGTCCTGGGAATGCTCTGTCCCTCTTTCATGCCACTTTTCTGCTTTGAGTCAGAGAGCAGATGTGGGCTGGAGGTTCAGGGCGCAGAAGCCCTGGGGCTGTAGTGGCCTGCAGCTACTGGCCATCCCAAGGAGTCAGCCCAGGCCTAGTGGCCATCCTGGGTGGCCCTGCTGTGCATGAGACAGTCTATTTATTCAACCTGTGTTGGTCAGTGCTGTGTGCCTGGTGCAGATCGGGGGCACTGAGATCTGATGGTGACCAAGACCAAGTCCCTTCCCTGGAGATACCTTCATGCAGTGGGGGACAGGTTGGATGTGAGGGAGAACTCCTCGTGGTATTGACAGCTGTGACACCAGCCAGAAGGTGATGGGACAGGGTGGCTGCTAGGACTCGTTCTACCTGGGCTGGGAGCTGGCCCGCACCAGGCACTAAGAACCTCAGGTTTGTTTGAATTCCACAGAAAGGCCCTAAGTGGGAGGAGGGCTAGAAAATGCTCATCTTCTGGCTGCAGGTGCGGGTGGTGCTGGTTGGAGGGTGCTGCAGGAGTGGCGCCTGTGGGGTTCCTGACGGTCACTGGGCAGCTGTGACGTGTGCTACGAGCACACGAGAGCGGCCAGCATGGGGCTGGCCTGGTGCACCCGGGGCCTGTCAGCCTCTGAGAAGTTCCTCCAGCACCCTCCTGTGTGCCCTGCTGCCTGAGGGCAAGTCTACACTGGTGGGCAGCCTGCACTCTCGAGCCTGGTGAAGGAAGAGGTGCGAAGGGTGATTCTGAGCTTGCACAGGCCTGGCTGCTGCACAGTGGCTTCAGCTTCAGCGCCGGCCCCACGTGATGTCTTTCTGCACCTCTTGTCCTTGGCCAGTCCAGGACCTCTGCTGATCGCAGGAGGGTGGTCGCCGTCTCCTGCCTGCACTCTGGTGGCTATTGGCTGAATGCAGACCTTTTCCGGGCCAGGGGTGGGCCTCAGTACTTCAGTCTCCAGCACTGTGGACAGGGTCTGTCCTGGCTTTAGGGTGTCTGAGTGTGAACTGGGGGTTGCCACATGACCTTCTTTGAGAGGCAGTGTGCAGCCAGCTCAGGCTTGGTTTCAGCAGTGCATGCGGTCCCCAGGGGCCCGGGGAGGTTGTTAGTAAGTGGCTGAGCCAGGCATCTTGCTGAGCAAGCTGCCTGCTCGCTGCCTGGGAGTCTGGGGCCAGGTAGGCATGGGATGGGTGGGCATACTGCTGGGCAGAGGAAGGGCCAGGGCTGTGCCAATACCGCATCTAATAAAGTCTGTGCCTGGAGCGAGTGAGAGTGAGGGATGGCCTGGGTGTCCTCACAGGGCTCCTGTCTGCTGCCAAACCTGCTGGCGAAGAGCGCTGTCCCTTTAAATGGGATTCTCCCTGGGACTGCTGCAGCTGGGGAGCAGGTGCGGAGGGAGGGAGGGAGGGAGGGAGGGAGG